TCATACAAGTTACGAGTAGATCTGCGTAAAGCTAGTGTAACTGCTTTCGCTGCTCTGGCGGAGTATCCTCTTTTTGACAAGCAATCCGTGATACTTTCCATACGTGTAAGTGGAATAATCTGAGATACTTGTGAACTTGCTTGGTGTGAGGATGAATTAGTAGGTTTGACCAAACTGGAACTTGTATTGTTGGTTTTCCGAGTTCTAGTAAGAGAACGGGAAGCCACGTTCTTGCTGGCCAGTAAGGCGCGACCAAAATTAGTTGTAGATTGCTTGTCTGCCTGATTTTCTGTAATACCTGTGGTATTAACGCTGGCGGAGGGAACGCATACACGTTTAGTCCTTCCCATGGGATGCTTAGAGCGTCTGTCGCCCATGCTTGCGGATCGGGAATTTGAGTGACGAATGTTGCCAGTTGATTGTTGAATCTTGTGGCGAATACGTCTATGAGTGGAGATCCTATCGTCTGTATGATGCATCTGACCGCTTGTGGATGTAACATCCATTCTGTTGGGGATGGTTGATGTGGTCGAGATAGCGCATCTGCTATTACATTTCTTTGCGTTTCTCAGTATGTTGGACCAATGTAGTAGGGCATTTACTGATCCTGCTTTCATCTCAAGCATGTTGATATCCATGGATCATCAATGTCTTGTATTTGGACCAAAGTAGGGCATTTTCCGGCAGCCGAGCATGTTGTGCAGAGGTTTGCCATTTTCGGCAGCCCCATCCCCATCCTTGCAGTGATGCATCTAACGTAGAGGTGGACGTTGCACTCCGGCTCTATTAAGTAATTTCCACCGCAAACATTTGACTTCTGAGTCCACCATAGTAGGTATGGTTTTAGCCTGTCTGGTATTTCGAAAGGATCCAGACTGTGTAAGTGGGCATTCACAATATCTCTGTAGTGGACGCAGTTGTAGTCTCCATCTCGTCATGTCTTGAGCTGACGCGGAGGGAGACCCATGCTCTGCCATTTGAGAGTGGTAGCGGAGAGAGTAGAACTTGAGAGATCATTTGTTGAATCTTGATCCAACGATCCTCTGGAACGAGAATGCGATTCTTTGTTGTTATAAGCCGTATTCCTAAGAATTGTAAGTCCTGAGTCGGCTCTAGTTCCAACTTGAGGAGATTTACTAGCCGTCCTAGTGGAGTGAGAAGTCTGATGGTGAAGTTCAATTGCAGTCTGAATTGACTGGGATCTTGCTGAGCTTGAATGCCGTCGTCTAGGTAGAACGCACAGCGTAGACCTCGACGATGAAGATATATATTGATGGTCTTTGTCACTCGAATAAACAACCAGGGGGCCGACGATATTCCAAATGGCAGGACCTTCCATTAGAAATGACGTCCGTTGAACAGGAATCGTAGATATTTCCTTGACTCCGGATGGATCGGGATGTGTAAGTATACATCCTGTAAATCTATGCTGGCGAGATAGTCTAGCGGACGTATGACATGTCATAGCTGTGGAAGTTGTATCATCTTGAACTTTGCGCGTGGTAGGAGGTAATCCTTGTTGAATTTCCTCATGTTGTAAATGAGTCGGAACTTTTCTTTTGAATTTTTCTTTGGTACCAGAAAAATTGGGGAGTAGAAACCTGGTGTGACGCAGTGTTGGTGAACGGCTTTGTCGAGGGTTGGAGTCTTGTGACGAATCTCTATGCCTTCATACGGATGTTGATTCTCTTCTCCTTGGTAACGAACCGTTGCGTGCAGGTTCGTGACGAACATCCGTATCTGACGTCGATGATGATCTACGTGGGTTCGGCGAACGTCTGATCCTTCCGTCGAACGTAGTTGGTGCGGGTTCCACGTTGGTATGGCTGCCAGGTATTCGTGCGGACGCTGTAGTCGAGCTGGATTCTTCCTGTATGCTCTGCAGGACGTTGGTTCCCAACGGACGTGGTGTGGTGCTCAGTTGACCTTCACTTGGGTTCGTCGCAGACGTCGTCTTCGTCGCAGCTGTCCCGTGTGCGAACCGTTGTTCCATCAGATCCAACATCTGTTGGGTAAATTGCTGCATAAAGGCGCCCGGGTTGAAGGTTTGCGTTGTCTGTTGTCTGTTGTACTGACAACGCATCTGAGACGGATGAGGCTTCTTGCGAAGGGCGTTGATCCTTCGTGCCGAACATCTGCATTGAAAGGTTGTCCTGCGTGGTCACTGTAGAAGACGTCTTCGTCTTCTTCTTAGATGTGATCTCAGGGATGAGGATGGGTTGCTCATCGTAGACATCTATTTCTTCCAGAGGGACGATCTCAGCTGAAAAGGACCTCGTCTTCTGCGTTGCCTGGTGTGGAGACTTCGACGAAGTCTTAGTTGTAGCTGCCTTCCTCCTCTGGGAAGATGATGCCCTAGTCTTCTTAGACTGCGAAGAGGGTGTATCAGATGTAGATGACCTCTTCCTCGATCCAGCATTGTCTATGGCGGCAACCTCCTCCGTAGACGACCCCGGTAGACCACTGGAATGGTGCATCTGCGTAGACACCAACTGCCGGTCCTCTGCAAGCTAAGCTGGTTTAGACATGTCATGTAATTCTCGGCTGGACCTGTCCTTTGCACGTCTAGACATAATATGAACTGAGAACGAGTGTCAGATAAACATATAGGCTTGCAATTAGGACATAGGTTATGCGGATCAACAGCAGACAAAAAATACCTACAACCAGAACAAAATTTCATCAATTGTAAACAATGTGAATAATCACGTAAAAACGTGATAAAAACTGAGAAATTTGAGAATTAATTCCGTAGAATATTGTAGGTAAATGTTAACTAAAGCCTTATACAGCTAATTTAGAAGAAATGTCGAAATAATAAAAGGATATATAGGGGACCAGGTGCTCTCACAACCGCCCACTCGGGCGAATCAGGAGAGAGTGAAGAGCATGGGAGACAGGGGGTGCCGTGTCCCGCCAAAACCTGGGAAGAGAGGTGACTCCTGGTAAGTGATTTTACGTCCACTTTTTTTAAAGGAGCTTCAAAAGGGGATTCAAGTCTTCCAATAGCATTCGGAAGGAAAGGGAGACAAGCAAGCAATAAGCATGAGTCAGGATAAGGAAAAATAAAGAATTTCTAAGAGTGTTCATAAACTTGTTCAAGCTTGAGAAAAGGCTTCGGCAAAAGGGGAAAAAGATAAAGAAAAAAAATTGGTCCTTTCTAATCACTGATGTAACTTACAAAGTGACTGCAGGTTATATGCCTTTCTAATCACTGATGTAATTTACAAAGTTACAGCAGGGTATATGCCTTCCTAATCACTGACGTCACTTATAAAGTGACTGCAGGATATATACATATCTTTCTAATCACTGATGTAACTTACAAAGTGACTGCAGGGTATATGCCTTTCTAATCACTGATGTAACTTACAAAGTGACTGCAGGATATATACATATCTTTCTAATCACTGATGTAAGGTACAAGGTGACTGCAGGATACATACATAACTTTCTAATCACTGATGTAAGTTACAAAGTGGCTGCAGGATATATACATATCTTTCTAATCACTGATGTAACTTACAAAGTGACTGAAGGATATATACATGCCTTTCTAATCACTGATGTAAGTTACAAAGTGACTGCAGGATATATACATGTCTTTCTAATCACTGATGTAACTTACAAAGTGACTGCAGGGTATATGCATGCCTTACTAATCACTGATGTAACTTACAAAGTGACTGCAGGGTATATACCTTTCTAATCACTGATGTAACTTACAAAGTGACTGCAGGATATATACATATCTTTCTAATCACTGATGTAAGGTACAAAGTGACTGCAGGGTATATACATATCTTTCTAATCACTGATGTAAGGTACAAAGTGACTGCAGGGTATATACATATCTTTCTAATCACTGATGTAAGTTACAAAGTGACTGCAGGGTGTATGCATGCCTTTCTAATCACTGATGTAAGGTACAAAGTGACTGCAGGGTATATACATATCTTTCTAATCACTGATGTAAGGTACAAAGTGACTGCAAGGTATATGCATACCTTACTAATCACTGATGTAACTTACAAAGTGACTGCAGAGTATATGCCTTTCTAATCACTGATGTAACTTACAAAGTAACTGCAGGATATGTGTCTTTCTAATCACTGATGTAACTTACAAAGTGACTGCAGGATATATATATATCTTTTTCATCACTGATATAACTTACAAAGTGACTGCATGATATATACATATCTTTCTAATCACTGATGTAAGGTACAAAGTGACTGCAGGGTATATACATATCTTTCTAATCACTGATGTTAGTTACAAAGTGACTGCAAGGTATATGCATGCCTTTCTAATCACTGATGTAAGGTACAAAGTGACTGCAGGATATATACATATCTTTCTAATCACTGATGTAAGGTACAAAGTGACTGCAGGGTATATACCTTTCTAATCACTGATATAACTTACAAAGTGACTGCAAGGTATATACCTTTCTAATCACTTATGTAATTCACAAAGTGACTGCTGGGTATATGCCTTTCTAATCACTGATGTAATTTACAAAGTGACTGCAGGGTATGTGCCTTTCTAATCACTGATGTAACTTACACAGTGACTGCAGGGTATGTGCCTTTCTAATCACTGATGTAACTTACAAAGTGACTGCAGGGTATGTGCCTTTCTAATCACTGATGTAATTTACAAAGTGACTGCAGGATATGTGCCTTTCTAATCACTGATGTAACTTACAAAGTGACTGCAGGGTATATGCCTTTCTAATCACTGATTTGATTTACAGGTCAATGCGGGATACATGCTTTCCTAATCACAAACATTACATGAGATCCCAGGAGAAATGCCAAAAAGAAACTTTAACAAGGAAGAACATTATAAATATGTCAGTCTGTGAGGACGTATCATTGACAAAAGAGGGAAAAGACCCTCCTACAATGTGTCAGATGTGACAGTACAATTACCTCCCTTTATGGTGCGCCAGTCTCAAACACATGAAACACAGGAATAAATAACTGTTGTGGAAATACTTCCATGAATGAATTATATTTATTTTGAGAGTTGCAGACTTGCCCAAGTCAAACAGTCTTTCAAGATTCTCACTTCATGATATTAAGATGAGTTAAACAAAGTTGTATGGGTGTAATAAGAAGTAGGTTGTTCCGTAACATGAGCAACACGATATGTTTCTGCACATATTGTGAAGTTTTCGCCTAAAAATCACCACACAAAACTTTGGACTACATAGCAGTGAATGTATAATCATTACTTTCAAATTCAGAGTGAAATTGTTTCAAATTGTTGCGAGTGAGTGAAAGAGCATGTTTTGCTGGAATGAACTGTTTCTGACCTTTTAATGGTTGTATTCTGCAACATCACTGCCACACTACAGACTTGACACAAGGCAGACTTTCAGGTGACACCTGGCCTAGCACTTGTTCATCATACAACCAAACTCTGTTGTACAATATCAACCGTTCAATAAATATGCTGGTCAATTACCAGAATTAAACACCCCAGGCCCTGATTTCAGAAACAAACTTAAAATCTGAGTTTTGAGTTAAGTTGAAGTTTTCACTCAAATTTGAGAAAAAGCAGAAAAATGCATTTCCCAGAATAAACTGAAATGGACTTAGTCGACAATTTGAGTTAGGTAGATAGGTAGATGAGTTGTTTAGTACTTTTGGTTTTAGAACTGCAACTGAATTAAAACCTCAGCTGTTTCAAACTCTCAAACTCAGTTTTAAATTTGAGTAAAAACTTGAGTTTGTTTCGAGAAATCGAGGCCAGTTATCTGAAAGTCAAGATAAGACTGATTGTCTGGAGGAAAAGAAGAAACATCAACCTCCCTTTTGTTGACCATCACAGAATAAAGAGACAGAATTGGTGATACATTTGTAAGACGAAGACTTGCTGTGGCGCTGGTGTATGTACACCTCAGTAAGTAACATGTGCAGAACCCTGCTGCTGTTTATTATATATTACACCCATACCAGAGGGGCATGAGGAGTGACAGTGTGTTACATGGACACAAACAGAGTTATGCCTATGGATTCAAATGTTCCGCAGTATACTCCCCATGGAGTCCAGTCCGAGTGAGCACATCATGGAGACACATCAGGATACCACTTGATTCTACAACATACTGAGTGAGTGAGTATGGTTTTATGCCGCTTTTAGCAATATTCCAGCAATATCACGGCAGGGACACCAGACATTGGCTTCACTTTGTACCCATGTGGGCAATCGATCCCGGGTCTTCAGTGTGACAAGCGAACGCTTTAACTACGAGGCTACCCAGCTGCCCCTCTACAACATCCTACTGGCAAATATGTGACAGGAACCCCTTAATAACATAATGAATTAATTTTTGTGCCTTGAGAGAAAGGAATCAGCTGACAATATGCATCAGGGAGTTAAACTTAAGTAGGTGAAACTAAAACACCATTGATTAAGAGATTCACAAAAATGAATATAGATATATTGGTAAATCTCGACAAAGAAAACCCTGCAAAACTGATCATGAAATAAATATATCAGAAAATGGGTAATTCTCTTCAGTCCTTGATAAAAATGTATTTTTGATAACTTCTAAATATGGCTGCCGGTCTCTAATACACAACACTTATCAGGGGAACTAAAATCACTCCTCGGTTGTTGCATCCCATCGATTCTGAAACAAATGTCAGATGTTGAAACTTGAATCAAGTGCTATCCTAAGTGAAGAAAGGTCATGTGATCAGTGATATCAGTGAGATGATATGATCATGAATAAAGTCTGTCTGAAGCAAGGCCACAACATCAAACTGGATGCAGCCAATCAGAACTCAGTTTACACAGACTGCAGCCAATCACAATACTGGTCACAGAAGGCAACCCACTGGCAACCAATAGAAAAGCAGCTTAGTTGAATATGGCTATCAACTCTACAGCTTTCTTCTGTAGCAAAGTCAAAGCAACAGCTCACTGCTTAAAATTGTGCAATCTGTTTGTTAACAGATATTGTATTAAAAATCTCTCAATAAAAAACTGTCCACTTTTGATGTGTCTATTCACACTTTTCTACAAAGCTTCCTGGAAACAATCCCGCCTTGCTGTTCGAGAGAGTTCCTTTGAACCATCCATCCTCACGTTTCTTGTGTACAAACACAATGTCACCACACTGAAGGTCCAGTTCATGATCCGTCTGAGGAGGGTATGGCACAATGCATCGGAACCTACAACAAGAAAGAAATAACTATACTCTTTCAAAAAAACTTTCAAAACAGTGACAATGTCTCAGAGTTTTGTACAGATTATAAACTTGTTGTCGTGCTCAGAAATGGGAACCAAAACATGAAGCATTGTCGTCTTTTGACGTGTTGCAACAAGGTGCCACCCGAGTAGCAGCTATGGGTACTTACCTTATATCTCATCTTATATAAGGGGTGAATGAAAAGTTCTGAGCCAGGCTATGTTGGATGAATAATACACTAACAGTTTGCATGCATCAAGTAGAGAACTAAGGGACACAACTCTGTACAACAAATTCTGATGCTTTAGATGATGAGGCTACCTGTGCACCCCAGACAAATGTATTCTTACACTTTAATGTGCCCAGTATAATAAATGGCTTCTTGCATGTCCATGAGAAGCAGAGACCTTGCACTTACTTTTCTCTGGCTAGTGGTTTGGGTCTACTTGGCTTGGATGGGGGTGGTGAGGCGGAGTCAAAGGACCCGGTCTTCTTGTGCTGACTGCTGTCTCCTGATGCCCCTGCTCCACTCTCAGCCGACTGGTACGACCCAGACCTGACACAAACAAACAGCCCTTTACCCCGAGGATTACTTCACAATCTGACACTCTCAGCTGACGCGTACGACCAAGACCTGACACAAACAAACAGCCCTTTACCCCGGGGATTACTTCACAACCTGACAATCTCAGCTGACGGGTATGACCCAGACCTGACCACAAACAAACAGCCCTTTACCCCGGGGATTACTTCACAATCTGACACTCTCAGCTGACGCGTACGACCCAGCCCTGACCACAAACAAACAGCCCTTTACCCCGGGGATTACTTCACAATCTGACACTCTCAGCCGACAGGTACGACCCAGACCTGACACTCTCAGCTGATGCGTACGACCCAGACCTGACCACAAACAAACAGCCCTTTACCCCGGGGATTACTTCACAATCTGACATTCTCAGCCGACAGGTGTGACCCAGATCTGACACTCTCAGCTGATGCGTACGACCCAGACCCAGACCTGACCACAAACAAACAGCCCTTTACCCCGGGGATTAATTCACAATCTGACACTCTCACTTGATGCGTACGACCCAGACCTGACACAAACAAACAGCCCTTAACCTTGGGGTTTACTTCACAATCTGACAATCTCAGCCGACGGGTACACTCCAGATCTGACAAACAAACAGCCCTTTACCCGAGGATTACTTCACAATCTGTAATCTCAGCTGACGCGTACGACCCAGACCTGACCACAAACAAACAGCCCTTTACCCCTGGGATTACTTCACAACCTGACACTCTCAGCTGACGGGTATGACCCAGACCTGACCACAAACAAACAGCCCTTTACCCCGGGGATTACTTCACAATCTGACACTCTCAGCTGATGCGTACGACCCAGACCTGACACAAACAAACAGCCCTTAACCCTGGGGATTACTTCACAATCTGACACTCTCAGCTGATGCGTACGACCAAGACCTGACCACAAACAAACAACCCTTAACCTTGGGGTTTACTTCACAATCTGACAATCTCAGCCAGCGGGACGACCCAGACCTGACCACAAACAAACAGCCCTTAACCTTGGGGTTTACTTCACAATCTGACAATCTCAGCCGACGGGTACGACCCAGACCTGACCACAAACAAACAGCCCTTAACCTTGGGGGTTTACTTCACAATCTGACAATCTCAGCCAGCTGGGAATGCGACTCCAGACCTGACCACAAACAAACAGCCCTTAACCTTGGGGTTTACTTCACAATCTGACACTCTCAGCTGGGATGGGTACTGACCCAGACCTGACCACAAACAAACAGCCCTTTACCCGGGATTACTTCACAATCTGACACTCTCAACCCGATGGAGTACAACCCAGACCTGACACAAACAAACAGCCCTTAACCCCGAGGATTACTTCACAATCTGACACTCTCAGCTGATGGGTACAACCCCAGACCTGACCACAAACAAACAGCCCATAACCCGGGGATTACTTCACAATCTGACACTCTCAGCTGGCCAGTGCGACTCCCAGACCTGGCACAAACAAACAGCCCTTAACCCCGAGGATTACTTCACAATCTGACACTCTCAGCCGATGGGTACAAGCAGGACCTGACACAAACAAACAGCCCTTAAGCCCGAGGGATTACTTCACAATCCTGACACTCTCTCAGCTGGCCAGGTACGCACCCAGACCTGACCACAAACAAACAGCTCCTTAACCCCGAGGGATTACTTCACAATCTGACACTCTCAGCTGATGCGTACGACCCAGACCTGACCACAAACAAACAGCCCTTTACCCCGGGGATTACTTCACAATCTGACACTCTCAGCTGATGGGTACAACCCAGACCTGACCACAAACAAACAGCCCTTAACCCCGAGGATTACTTCACAATCTGACACTCTCAGCTGATGCGTACGACCCAGACCTGACCACAAACAAACAGCCCTTTACCCCGGGGATTACTTCACAATCTGACACTCTCAGCTGATGGGTACAACCCAGACCTGACCACAAACAAACAGCCCTTAACCCCCCGAGGATTACTTCACAATCTGACACTCTCAGCTGATGGGTACAACCCAGACCTGACCACAAACAAACAGCCCTTTACCCTGGGGATTACTTCACAATCTGACACTCTCAGCTGATGGGTACGACCCAGACCTGACACAAACAAACAGCCCTTAACCCCGAGGATTACTTCACAATCTGACACTCTCAGCTGATGGGTACAACCCCAGACCTGACCACAAACAAACAGCCCATAACCCCGGGGATTACTTCACAATCTGACACTCTCAGCTGACGGGTACGACCCCAGACCTGACACAAACAAACAGCCCTTAACCCCGAGGATTACTTCACAATCTGACACTCTCAGCCGATGGGTACAACCCCAGACCTGACCACAAACAAAACAGCCCTTAGGGTTTTACCCCGGGGATTACTTCACAATCTGACACTCTCAGCCGATGGGTACAACCCCAGACCTGACCACAAACAAACAGCCCTTTACCTGGGGGATTACTTCACAATCTGACACTCTCAGCCGATGGGTACAATTCCAGACCTGACCACACACAAACGAACAGCCCTTAACCCCGGGATTACTTCACAATCTGACACTCTCAGCTGCGGTGGTACTGACTCCAGACCTGACCACAAACAAACAGCCCTTAACCCCGAGGATTACTTCACAATCTGACACTCTCAGCTGATGCATACGACCAAGACCTGACAAAAACAAACAGCCCTTAACCTTGGGGTTTATATCACATTTCACTTGACACAATCTGACACTCTAGATGTTGTGTAATACTTTATCCAGTTGAAAGAGGTTATATAACACTTTATCCATGGGAAAGAGGTTGTGTAACACTTCATTCAGGTGAAAGAGGTTATGTAACACTTCATTCACGTGAAAGAGGTTATGTAACACTTCATTCATTCATGTGGGGTGAGGTGAGGTGAGGTGAGGTGAGGTGAGGTGAGGTGAGGTGAGGTGAAATTGGGTTTAACGTCGTGCTTGAGAATATTTCGATCATATGACGACGTGCATGCGTGTGTATATGTATGTGCGGCTGCTTGTACTAGACTTAAGCTGGTTTTATAGTGCTATCCCACTGAGATACCATGCCGCAGTGAAGCATGAATACCCCACTCAGAGACATTATACTGACTCCGAGCCGACCAGTCCTTGTTGTACACAGTAATGCCGAGCGCCAGGCAGGGACCAACAAGTACCATATTTTAACGTCTTTTTGGTATGGCCAGCGGCCGGGGATCGAACCCGCGCCCTTCCGCTCTCCGGGCGGACGCTCTAACCACTACACCACGGAGGCGGTCTCATTCATGTGAAAGACGTTCTTGTAAAACTTCATCCAGGTGAAAGAGGTTATGAAACATTTAATGCATGTGAAAGAGGTTGTGTAACACTTTATCCATGTGAGAGAGGTTGTGTAACAATTCATTCTGGTGAAAGAGGTTATGTGACACTTCATCCAGGTGAAAGAGGTTATGTAACACTTCAATCAGGTGAAAGGGGTTATGTAACACTTAATTCAGGTGAAAGAGGCTGTGGAAGTATGGGGCACCTGTTAACATTTCTATCCAGCAAAATTACCTGACATGTGTTACAGACCCCTCCAACAGTGCTGAGGTTTCACCATCATCGCCTGGCGATTTTGATTTTTTACTTTTACTGGCAAGTCGTTTAACAAGACTTTTCTTCTCCTTGTCCTTTCGTTCCTTGTGCTCCTTTGGATCCTTGTGGAGTGCTTCATGCTGCTTAGTAAATTGCTTGTCGTGTTTGTCGTGTTTGTCATGCTTCTCCTTTTTCTCCTTCTGTAAAATTAGACACAGCTTCTTGATAATGGACAATGACAGGTTTAAACTGGGGGTAGGGCCTTCTGTTATAATCTTCCTCTTAATGGACAATGACAGGTTTAAACTGGGGGTAGGGCCTTCCGTTACAATGTTCCTCATAATGGACAATGACAAGTTTAAACTGGGGGTAGGGCTTTCTGTTATAATCTTCCTCTTGATGGACAATGACAGGTTTAAACTGGGGGTAGGGCTTTCTGTTATAATCTTCCTCTTAATGGACAATGACAGGTTTAAACTGGGGGTAAGGCCTTCTGTTATAATCTTCATCATAATGGACAATGACAGGTTTAAACTGGGGGTAGGGCCTTCTGTTGTAATCTTCCTCTTAATGGACAACTTATGACAGGTTTAAAGCTGGGGGTAGGGCCTTCGTTACAATGTTCCTCATAATGGACAATGACAAGTTTAAACTGGGGAGTAGGGCCTTCTGTTATAATCTTCCTTGTAATGCACAATGACAGGTTTAAACTGGGCCTTCTGTTACAATCTTCCTTAATGGACAATGACAGGTTTAAGCCAAAGGGCCTTCTGTTGTAAATCTTCCTCTTACTGGACAATGACATGGTTTAAACTGGGGGGTAGGACCTTCTGTTATAATCTTCCTCTTAATGGACAATGACAGGTTTAAACTGGGGGTAGGGCCTTCTGTTATAATCTTCCTCTGAATGGACAACAACAGGTATTTAAACTGGGGGTAGGGCCTTCTGTTATAATCTTCCTCATAATGGACAATGACAGGTTTAAACTGGGGGTAGGGCCTTCTGTTATAATCTTCCTCATAATGGACAATGACAGGTTTAAACTGGGGGTAGGGCTTTCTGTTATAATCTTCCTCTTAATGGACAATGACAGGTTTAAACTGGGGGTAGGGCCTTCTGTTGTAATCTTCCTCTTAATGGACAATGACAGGTTTAAACTGGGGGTAGGGCCTTCCGTTACAATGTTCCTCATAATGGACAATGACAGGTTTAAACTGGGGGTAGGGCCTTCTGTTATAATCTTCCTCTTACTGGACAATGACAGGTTTAAACTGGGGTAGGGCCTTCTGTTATAATCTTCCTCTTACTGGACAATGACAGGTTCCAAACTGGGGGTAGGACCTTCTGGTTATAATCTTCCTCATAATGGACAATGACAGGTTTAAAACTGGGGGTAGGAGCCTTCTGTTATAATCTTCCTCTTAATGGACAATGACAGAGTTTAAACTGGGGTAGGGCCTTCTGTTATAATCTTCCTCATAATGGACAAATGACAGGTTTAAACTGGGGTAGGGCTTTCTGTTATAATCTTCCTCTTACTGGACAATGACAGGTTTAAACTGGGGGTAGGGCCTTCCTCGCTACAATGTTCCTCATAATGGACAATGACAAGTTTAAACTGGGGGTAGGGCTCTGTCATAATCTTCCTCTCATGATGGACACGACAGGTTTAAACTGGGGGTAGGGCCCTCTGTTATAATCTTCCTGCTAATGGACAACACAGGGTTTAAACTGGGGGTAGGGCTTTCTGTTATAAATCTTCCTCTTAATGGACAATGACAGGTTTAAACTGGGGGTAGGGCCTGCTGTTATAATCTTCCCTCATAATGGACAATGACAAGTTTAAACTGGGGTAGGGCCTTCTGTTAATCTTCCTTGTAATGCACAATGACAGGTTTAAACTGGGGTAGGGCCTTCTGTTATAATCTTCCCTGCACTTAATGGACAATGACAGGTTTAAACTGGGGGGTAGGGCCTTCTTGTTATAATCTTCCTCATAATGGACAATGACAGGTTTAAACTGGGGGTAGGGCCTTCTGTTATAATCTTCCTCATAATGGACAATGACAGGTTTAAACTGGGGGTAGGGCCTTCTGTTATAATCTTCCTCATAATGGACAATGACAGGTTTAAACTAAAGTGATGGTAGCCTTCTGTTGCAGCTGTCTAATCTTCCTCATAATGGACAATGACAGGTTTAAACTGGGGTAGGGCCTTCTGTTATAATCTTCCCTCATAATGGACAATGACAGGTTTAAACTGGGGGTAGGGCCTTCTGTTATAATCTTCCTCATAATGGACAATGACAGGTTTAAACTGGGGTAGGGCCTCTGTTGGACAATGACAGGTTTAAACTGGGGTAGCCTTCCTCTGTTGCAACTTCCCCATAATGGACAATGACAGGTTTAAACTGGGGTAGGGCCTTCTGTTATAATCTTCCTCATAATGGACAATGACCAGGTTTAAACTGGGGGTAGGGCCTTCTGTTATAATCTTCCTCTTAATGGACAATGACAGGTTTAAACTGGGGGTAGGACCTCTGTTCTAATCTTCCTCATAATGGACAATGACAGGTTTAAACTGGGGGTAGGGCCTTCTGGTATAATCTTCCTCATAATGGACAATGACAGGTTTAAACTGGGGGTAGGGCCTTCTGTTATAATCTTCCTCATAATGGACAATGACAGGTTTAAACTGGGGGTAGGGCCTTCTGTCATAATCTTCCTCATAATGGACAATGACAGGTTTAAACTGGGGGTAGGGCCTTCTGTTATAATCTTCCTCATAATGGACAATGACAGGTTTAAACTGGGGTAAGGCCTTCTGTTCTAATCTTCCCTCATAATGGACAATGACAGGTTTAAACTGGGGTAGGACCTTCTGTTATAATCTTCCTCTTAATGGACAATGACAGGTTTAAACTGGGGGTAGGGCCTTCTGTTATAATCTTCCTCATAATGGACAATGACAGGTTTAAACTGGGGGTAGGGCCTTCTGTTATAATCTTCCTCATAATGGACAATGACAGGTTTAAACTGGGGTAGGGCCTTCTGTTATAATCTTCCTCATAATGGACAATGACAGGTTTAAACTGGGGGTAGGGCCTTCTGTTTTTTCAAGCTCCTTGATAATGCACAGTAAGGTGGTTTTAGGGATGTTTAGGCTTACTATTGCACAATAACAGGTTTATACTGTAGAGGCATAGACTTACACAGTAGGGCTTACTGTCACAAAAACTCAAAGGAATACAAGTAAAAGTAGAGATACCTGTGATGAGCTTAACTGAAGGCCTGGATATGCCAAGAGAATGAATAACTAACCTATCATTAGCCAAGAAACAGTCGACTCTACCATAAAGAAACCTAAACCTGTTCGACAAAAATACCATTTGAAATCATTCCTTTGCATAACATCCATGATATTTCCTCTGTTTCTGAGCATACTGATGAAGAAAATCTGTAAGACATGAAACACACAATTTCTAAGCAGGAAATACAATGACGAAGCATAAGTATTCTGAACAGAAACTAAGGTTGGACTTCACAGTTTGTTCTCAGATAGGCACTGACAACTTGGAAAATCAGTCAGTCCTATGGACACTGACACCTGACTTACAGTGATACGTCCTTACCTTGTCTTTACCGGAGTGTGTGTAGTGGCTGGGAAATTCAGTCAGTCGTATGGACATTGACACCTGGCTTACAGTGATTTGTCCTTACCTTTGTCTCTACTGGAGTGTGTGTGTAGTGGCTGGAAATCTTGGGGCCAGCAGGCTGGACATTGACACCTGGTTTACAGTAGTAAAACGTCCTTACCTTGTCTTTTTACTGGAGTGTGTGTGGTGGCTGGGAATTCAGTCAGTCAGTGGTATGGACATTGACACCTGACTTACAGTAAAACGTCCTTACCTTGTCTTTACTGGTGTGTGTGTGGTGGCTGGGAAATTCAGTCAGTGGTATGGACATTGACACCTGACTTACAGTAAAATGTCCTTACCTTGTCTTTACTGGAGTGTGTGTGGTGGCTGGGAAATTCAGTCAGTGGTATGGACATTGACACCTGGCTTACAGTAAAACGTCCTTACCTTGTCTTTACTGGAGTGTGTGTAGTGGCTGGGAAATTCAGTCAGTGGTATGGACATTGACACCTGACTTACAGTAAAACGTCCTTACCTTGTCTTTACTGGAGTGTGTGTAGTGGCTGGGAAATTCAGTCAGTGGTATGGACATTGACACCTGACTTACAGTAAAACATCCTCACCTTGTCTTTACCAGAGTGTGAGTGGTGACTTTCCCCTGTGGCTCCCAGCACTACGTTGGGGGGAGTGATGTTGGTCGATGCTGACATGGAATGGTGCATAGCAGCTAGGCTAGATGAGCTCCATCCCCCACTGGGGGACGAGGAATGGCTACCTCGTTTTGGAAGATGAACCGTTGTGGTGGAGTGAGCAGGCCCTTGGCTGGAAGCGGACACATGACAACTTGACTTGGAAGAACTGGAGGAGCTGTACCCTGGAGGTGGAACTGTGATTGCTGCTTTGGATGCCCTGGAGGAATGGCTGCCGCTGGAGGGTGAAGAGGCTGTGTAAGTCTTTGGTGCTCGGGGGAGGAGAGGTGGGGGTGCTGACTGGCTCGAGCTAGACTGAAAGGACTGGCTTGAAGTAGAGGTGCGGCTTAAGTCGAGATTGGTGACATTGATGTTGTTAGAGTCAGAGGATGCAGAAGAGTGGGAGTTTGTCTGAGGAGCTCGGGCTCGAATGTTCAACACATTGGGACTGACTGGCTTGAATGCACTCTGGTGCCTGGAAAGGGAAGAATTCAAGTGAGTAGGGAAGAAGAGGGTAAAACAAGGGTTAAATAAGAAGTGAATAGAACTAACTTGTGGTCACTGAAGAATGTGAAGGAGTCCCGAATAGGAAAGGATTATGGGAACCTAGTTTCCTATCTACCAAAATTGTACTTTTCAGTCTACCACTCATGTGTTCTAATTGTATTACTTTCAATATAGGGAAAAGAATTCTCCAAATAAACACATCTTTAATCCTTTTAGCAGATGTTTCATTCTTGTTTATTTTGAACAAGACAGTGCTGGCACGTGTCCAGACTGACTGTTAAGAATGCACGGTTTAGATGTCCTTCACTAACTACTCGAGAGAACAAAGACCCACGTCCACTGTCATTAGGTCTCAGAAACGTGTGCATTAGTTAGAGTGATCATGATGATGATTAAGAGTAGAAGAAAAAATCAACCGAAACCAATGTTTTTAAAAAGCAACAAAAAGCTTGTGGTTGTAACATTCTCAACAAATTTGTGTATGTAACGTTACAAGCTGACAGTGAAAAGGATTTATGTTAATGACAAATGTTCTTGATTTCTCTGGTCGTACATATGTTTTGAGATTCTAACTGGATACTAGTGAGTGAGTTTAGTGAGACACATCAGGATACCACTTGATTCTACAACATATTGAATGAGTATGATTTTACGCCGCTTTTAGCAATATTCCAGTAATATCCCGGTGGGGACACCAGAAATGGGGTTCACACATTGTACCCATGTAGAGAATCGAACCCAGCTCTTCAGTGTGACTAGCAAATGCTTTAACCACTAGACTACCCCACTGCCCATCACTGGATACTAGTTGATAGGATGGTAGCATAAATATGTGTTGATACTGGCTGATAGTGCAGATGTGTGTTTGTAACAATCAAGACATAAGCTTCCCTGGTTCCTTCACTAAGTCAGGCTTGACAGCCTCAAGACAAGATAAGGTGAGTGCTGCTATTACCTGTATAGCTGTACATAGTTTCCAGGGAACACCCCTGTACTCCCTGTTTTGAGACACTGGCCTTTGTACCAGCCATCCTGGCACTTCTCCGACACGGTGTACCCATCACCCTTCCTCAGTTCCAGCTCATCGTCCTTCTGAGGCTTGTAGCTGTACGTGGCAACATACCTGCAACATTGCAACATACCGGTATCTACCACCTGCAACATTGCAACATACAGGTATCTACCACCTGCAACATACCTGCAACATTGCAACATACAGGTATCTACCACCTGCAACATACCTGCAACATTGCAACATACAGGTATCTACCACCTGCAACATAGCAACATACAGGTATCTACCACCTGCAACATACCTGCAACATTGCAACATACAGGTATCTACCACCTGCAACATACCTGCAACATTGCAACATACAGGTATCTACCACCTGCAACATACCTGCAACATTGCAACATACAGGTATTTACCACCTGCAACATACCTGCAACATTGCAACATACCGGTATCTACAACCTGCAACTTACTAGTGCATATAACCATACAGGTAGATAGACCCAGCAACATACCAGTATCTACCACCTGCAACTTACTAGTACATTTTACCATACAGGTAGATAGACCCAGCAACATACCGGTATCTACCACCTGCAACTTACTAGTACATTTTACCATACAGGTAGATAGACCCAGCAACATACAGGGATCTACCACCTGCAACTTACTAGTACATATAACCATACAGGTAGATAGACCCAGCAACATACAGGTATCTACCACCTGCAACTTACTAGTACATATAACCATACAGGTAGATAGACTCAGCAACATACAAGTATCTACCACCTGCAACTTACTAGTACATTATACCATACAGGTAGACAGAACCAGCAAATCACAGGTACCTAGACCCAGCAACATACCGGTATCTACCACCTGCAACTTACTAGCACGTAGGTATAACCATACAGGTAGATAGAATCAGCATATTCAGGTAGGTACCTAGACCAAGCAACATACGAGTACCTAAAACCAAACTTTATCAATACAAAATTCATCAAAACTCTTTCTTCTTTGATGGGCATTTTAGAAGTTGAGTTGATGAAGAATGATAACATATTTTTATGGATATACATCTCTTTCATTCTGTGAAGGGCGATGTTACAACATAGATTCTAATGTCGCTGTCAAGCAAGTGATGTGGTGATTTGCCAAGTCTCCATGTAGATGACATATGGCTTCTTTGATGGGCATTTCAGAAGTTGAGTTGATGAAGAATGATGACAATTTTTATGGATATACAACTTCTTATATTCTGTGAAAGGCGACGTTTCAACATAGATTCTAATGTCATTGTAACTTGCTACAACATAGATTCTAATGCCGTCAAGCAAGTGACAACCACATTAGAATCTATGTCGAAAAGTCGCCCTTCACAGAATAAAAGAAGTTGTATATCCATAAAAATTGTAATCATTCTTCAAAACTCTTTCTGTCCATTCAGTTTACGAACTAGTGATATTTCAGTAAGAATACTAAATGTAATAAAGTAAGGCTGTTCTTACAGACAACCAATAATGATAATATTCAGACTGAAGAATTTCAGATCTTGCTTCATTATGAAACCTACATTCACCTGTACCAATATACTGTTTAACATGCACACTCTACTCCACTAGTACAAAGAAGGTCATTTTGAACTTGCCTAGGGGAATAGAATTAGGATAATTACACAAGACTACATATGATGAACATTGGTCAGTTTTAAAGTAGGGCGATATAAGAGTTATTTCACCAATATTTGAAGTTCACAGAAGCAAGACAAAGTAAAGATGTTCTTCAGGCAAGTAAAAAGTGGTTTTGTTTCACTCATATTATTCAGCTGTAGGCCTATCAAATGGTTTGTTCCCCAGTCTTCCATTTCCAAAAGAAGAAAGACCCAGTTCATGGTTCCACTACACTACAGCTTGTTCAGCTTGACCTGATCAAGTGAATAATAATGCATTGCGTGACCGTGTCAGAAGTGGTTGGGTCTATTATTACGAAGGGGTGGACTTTTGTCAGTTGATTGTCAACATGTCCAAACAGCCGAGAGAAGGTGGCCATTTGACATCTCAGTTTAGAGAAATTGTCAGCAATGTCCTAACTTTCTTTAAAACAGAAGCTACAGACATATTGCAGTTGAACATGAAATAGAAACAGTGATAACAATACTGGGTGGAGAGAGTGATAGCGAGAGTGAATCGGATTGTGAAAGTAACTGACTTTGTAAAGTTAGTAAACCAAACTAGACAGCATATGATTGTTTTTTTCAGAAGTGTTGTTTTCCGGGTCAAGTTCTAACTAATCCATGTATGCATGCTTCGCACGAAGGCAACTTTAATAACATTCTCTGCTCCCCTATTTAATGAAGTTAACTCGGCCTGCTGTTTGTGCCATTTGACCTCCCGGGTCATGCATATGTAGAGTAGCTCAGGTCAAGCTGAACAAGCTGTTAGTATGAAGCAGCTGTAAGGCCAGAATTTTGTGTGGAGACGATGAAGCATACAGTGAAACAGGTAATGCAGTGTATATTGTGTATGATCTTGATGTTCTTACATCTACACCTACAGGAAATGATGACACGTTTCTCATCATCACTTATCTGCCTATGCTGATTATGTAGACGGCTACTGAAAATACCATCAGTTCTGTGGTTAAGGGACCGTTCATAATTTATGGCTAGGGGTGTGTGATGATGATTTTTATGGAAAAGCATGTACAATGTAAATGACCCCCCCTAAAATTTATGTACAAAGTAACTGACCCCCTGCATGTCATGTACTAAGTCAATGGACCCCCCCCCTTCCATATTTTCAAAGCATAATTTTGAAATATTTTTATGTACAAAATTGCTGACCCCCCTAGAAGCGTGTACAAAATTGATGACCCCCTACCTCCCCAGGACAAAATGGGTGACAAACCCCCCCCTTAAAATCATCATCACCCCCCTAGCCATAAATTATGAACGGTCGGAAACAGACCTTGGAACCTTAAAAGCCTTACTGGTTGTGTGGCAACTTACACTGGTGTGAGCCCACTTGGCATGACAGAGTTGTCTCCCCCTGCACTGCCGGTGGTTGTGGTTGAAGAACCGCTCGATGACTCTGTTCCTGCCTGAAAATGTGTCACCTTTCTTTCAGATCAGTTTTCTAAAGATGAAATTTGTGATATTTTATTTTATATACGAACATAATCAGAAGAATATCACTGTCATGATGTTATAAGTTATCTCATGAGATATGTTAATGATACTATTCCATTTCAACAATATTATTAAACTCATGCATAATTTCCACATGCAAGATAGGTAAGTACTGTTGAAGTGATGTTTGATTGAAGGGAGATAACTCCAGTGTGGCATTTTAACACTATATGTCTAAACATGCAGTCATAAGACAACAATAGCGATCGTAAGTAATCTGGTGTGTGATCTTGTAATACGAATCACTGTTATCTTGTTATGTGCAACATGTTGTGGAGGTGCTATTTACGACCATTCTGTCACTCAACCAAAGCATGCAATATAATTATACATGTTCCATACTGCTGACTGGCAAAGAACAAACAAAAATTCAAATTGAAATTTAATTTACTTAACGCTCTTTCAACTGTCATTAAGTAAACGTATTGGGAAATTCTACACCAATAATGTGCCCAAATGTTGATAAGCATATTCTGAACAGTTTACAGAACACACCAACTGTTTCGTTTATGTCAAATATCTTCTGAACACATTGAACATAGGCGGATCTAGAGGGGGGGATGCAGGGGTGTGCAACATCCCCACCCCCAACACTTTGTCCTGTTTATTAAATGACCATTGAAACTCTCGTGAAAACGGGTGAAACTGAACTGTGCACTCCCCCTTTCTCAAACAGCTGTATCCCACCCTGTTGAAGAGTCAGTTGGCAAAGTTTTTTTTCATTTTTCTTAATCTTTCAATTTGAATAGCTACTGACAAGATTTGCCGTTTGATATTTTCATTTCCAGTTGTTTTGGACACCAACTGATATCCACTGACTCATAAGGATTAGTCAGGAAATTTATTATAATATTTAATTTAAAATAATAGCATTCTCAAAAGTTAATGGTATATCCTTGTGTTAAGATGACTCCAGTCACGTCACATTAGTCGAAGGTCTCCTATAGTAAACCTCTAACAACCTCAATACTCAAAGTCATGTAATTTCTACCCTTGATCCAAACCTTCCTTACCTGTACTGTTTGTGGTGCCGATTTCGGAGTTGAGGTAGAGGAGCTAGTTGTGGTGGTGACGACAGCAGCAGCGGCGGCTGTAGCGGCGGCAGTGAGGGGCGGCGTGGACGTTCCCCCCACAGACCCAGCTGATGTGCTGGGAATACTGAATGCCCCCGAGCTGCTGCTACTGCTGCCCAGTTCAAGTGAGCGCCGCTGATGCTGGGTGGGAGGGGACGGGGATTTCTGGGGGGCGAGGGTGAATGAATGCCGTTTGGGTTGAGACGTGGGGTGGGAAGCCAACAAGGCTGGGTTGACCGAGGTAACAGATGGTGAGGTGACCCGATGAGTCTCCGACGCCGATGTTGTTCGTTCTGAGCTATCAGAGTTACGTCCCCCTGATTGGGTGTTATTACTGGCCTGTAGGATACTCACACTTGGCTTGGAGTTGAGAAGGCTTTTAGCAGCATCATTTAACTGTGCAAATAAATATAGGGGAAAACTAATCAGCATGTAGCTGGGGAGAGAGCAAGGATGTCACACATCCCCACAGTAAGGTTGGAAAAAGCAGTATAACATAAACTCAATAGTTGATGCATCTTACTATAAAGAAAAAGACCATTGTTGTCCAACTCAAATATTTTGCATAATCCTGTGTTGATTAATTCAACAAATGCACAACATGCGGAGTGAGTAAGTGAGTGTGTGAATTTGGTTTAACTCTGCTCTAAACAGTATCCACAGCAGGTCTGTTGTATGTGGGAGGAAAGCCTGTAGTAACGCAGGTCTAAAACATTTACCACCTTGGTGAAACCCACAAGCCTAGGTATGGTGCTGACAAACTTGAAAACATTATTCTGATTCAAGCCAAATGATTCAAGCATGTTTGGATGTTTGTATACCGAACCGAAGGCAAAATACCGCAGTTCTACTAATACCATGGTATATGGTTTCACCCCTACAATATCACTCAGCGAGGTAACAACTAAAGAATGTTGCAGTAGGATATATAATTTACACTGTGTCATTGATTCTTGGCTACACTGTCTAACATCACCAATCGGCTTACCTACAATACGTCAAAAACATGTCCATACGCAAACATTTGAGGTGCTCATCAACAACAGAGATCAGTAACATACCCAGAAATTTGAACATATCGTCATGCCATACATGTTCTCCTTACAGTTATTTAAACATGGCCGCTACTTGTCATTATAACTTGAACAACACTGTATCAAACTGTGTTAATCACACCCCCACTCCAACACGCAGTGAGTCGTTCCAACAATTCCTACAAGCTACTTTAAAGGTGATGAAAGAACTTCTACATCATGCAACCAGTGATGCACACGTATCACCTACCTTAACAAACGTCACAGGGAATATACCAATTTTATCCCCTTTCCTGCCTTCAATCCAATTTTCATCCACTCTTCGTATTACTGTCAGAGTTTCATCCTGCAAGTTATAACATAACGGTATGATATAAAGATCATAGAAAATAATCAAGGGTCAAGTTTAATACATTCCAAGAAATTATAACAAGAAATAGACGCCAGGCGAATGAAGGAACAACATAGAAGTAATGAGCTTGTCAATGCATTTTCTTTGATTTCCAGCCATACCATGGGTAAAAAATCTGGATCAGATAATCCAGTGAGTGATGAGTTGAGTAGGGTTTTATGTCACATCAGCATTATTCCAGTCAGATAGCGACGGGACCAAGTCTGCATTCACACATATTTGAATCACAAAGTCCAAATGAGTTTCTTGCAATCCAGTGAGTGATACTGTGAGCAACAGGCCAAACCTTCAAGGTATATGTCACACAAAATCAATCATGTAACTGAGCACAACCACCTGATCAATTTAGTTTCCCTTGACATAGGGTGTGAGGGCCAGTTCTCACCTGGAATCACGACTGAGACACTGAATGATGACACATTGGCATTGATCGTCAGTAACAGAGCAATGGACACTACAGTGATATAAAGTAAAAAGTACAATGGTCTCACCTTTTGAAAGGACAGGCAATCCTTTTCCTTCTCGTCCTTGAGATCAAAGTCGTACAATGCCTGACACTGAGGCAACTGGGGTAATGCCACCAACACCTGGAAAGGGGAGGTAACTCTTGAACACTCAGCATCATTTGCTCCATGTCAAAGCCATTATCTGTCTATTTCAAGTAAGACTGCATGCCTCTCATGAGTACTGTGGCATATTTCCCTCATGAAACACGAACAGACTATTCAGTAGTGTCCTCTAAGATCCATATAAATTGCATAGCTATGCCTCAAAGATTACTAGAAGAATGCTTACCCAAAATGTCACTGACACTGATCTATCAATAAACGAATATCCGCATAAAACACAGATATTTGACCAGCAGCATATACGCTTATGGGTTTCTAATGACATGGTTACTATTTGCTTATATCTTTGCAAGATGACATCCTTGACTGCTGACAAAAACGCTATTTTCAGCGACTGTTTACTCAATGCGTGTATAACTCAGAACCGATCGTGCGGAAAATACCATTCGGAATAGTTTTTTGAGGTAAAGGTTCAAACGGTATGTGCGAATGTTAACTTTCGCGATTTGATAAGCTGTGTTCTGATTGGTCAGTCCAAAAGGTTAGCTGATGCGACCTTCTACTAGGTTTTGTTAGACTCAGTATAGCAGTGTAATGAATAATACTGAGTAAGGCTGTAACGATTCACTCGCATATTCGGTGAATCGAACCGTAGCCCTTCATGAATTCAATTCGTTATTCGTGGTCATCAGAACCGAATATTCATGAATATTTACAATTTTTAAGGGAGTGTCATTACTTGAACCCTTATGTCCTTTTTCAAAATGAGATATGCAAGAATGCATTATGTACTAGCCTTGTAGTAGCGCAAGTCATGTTAGTTTGCCAAGGCCGCACATGGTACTGTCATCTATAACTATTACATACCAAATTTGAGTGTCATGAGATGACTGGTTATTGCTGTGACAAATTAACACTGTCAACATGGGCATTCAATATTGTGCATCAGTCACTTAACTACAATATTGTATTCGTGAATAATTATTCGTATTCGGTACCCAATATTCGTGATACGTATCATATTCGCAACATAGTGTATTCGTTACAGCCCTAATACTGAGCCTAAGTTTACTTAGACTGATGCTAAACACAAGAAGAAGGCCTGCATGGCATCCTTTCTTTTTCCATGGTAGTACTTTGTGCTACTCAACAACTGTATCAGACAAAATTATAGCATATATTGTTTGTTGTTTACCACAGCACTCAGCATTTGTCCAGCTACTTGATGGCAGTCTGTAAATAATCGAGTCTGGACCAGACAATCCAGTGATTGATATCATGAGCATCCTACGCAGTTGGGTTACGATGACATGTGTCAACCAAGTCAGCGAGTCTGACCACCCGATCCTGTTAGTCACCTCTAACAACAAGCATGGATTACGGATGACCAATTCTAACCCAGATCTTCAAAGGTTGAGACAAGCATGGATTGCTGAAGACCAATTCAGATCTTCATGGAGTGAGTGAGTGGTGAGTGACGTTTAGCAATTTTAATTTTACGCCACACTCAGCAATATTCCAACTATATGGTGGCGGTCTGTAAATAATCGAGTCTGGACCAGGCAATCCAGTGATCAACAGCATGAGCACCAATCTGCGCAATTGGGAACCGATGACATATGTCAACCAAGCCAGCGAGCCTGACCACCCGATCCCATTAGTTGCCTCTTTCGACAAGCATGGGTTACTGAAGGCTCATTCCAACCCGGACCTTCACGGGTCAGATCTTCGTGGATCAGACCTACATGTAGTGTTGCGGGATAATGATAATGAATTCATACATCCAATAAATTTATGGACAGATGAAACCACAGAGCGCACATATTCTTGCTCATCATCATGTTGAGAATTTCTCCATGACCTTGACCTGTATGAGAATTTAGGGCAGATATATGGACATACCTCATACCTAAAATCAAGATATTAAACTGGATTTACAAGACAAATGAAATTCATCCCTTAACTGCAACCTTCACTTTGAGCATCCACAAAGCTAGTTCAGCTGAAGACCACAAAGGTGCATGACCACATCTGACATTACCAAAATAGTCAGAGACCTTCAACTAATCAATAAGATTATCAAATATCAAATACCAAAGCATACATGCATAAAACTAGCCTCATAGTCACACTGAACTTAGGTCTGACCTTGACCTTAAACAGAGGTCACTTAATCTGCATCAGTTCTGGGACAGAACATACAGTTCACATGCTTACAATGAATAGATTGGAGTCATCTTGTTGTTCACAGGAAGGAAACCATGTGATCATCCTCTCTCTAAATACAGGAATATGCCCCATTATAGCCCAATCTTACCTAAAATTATAAAATGCATCTACCAATTTGTCTTAATTGTTTTGTCTGACAATAACAATACTGGTGTTTTTACTCATGTGTGAACTGATTGCCCTATAAATGATCACTTGCAATGTGTCTTCTGACTGCATTTGATTGACTGTTGGAAGTTAACAAGCTCTGATTGGGAGACATTCATGGTTATGTGATAATTCTCTATACTTCTACTGTTAAGTCTGGTTACTATGGTAACATCACAAATATAGTAATAGTACACCTATCCAAGTAAACATTCAAGGTTGGAGGAACTCAAAAAGGCTGCAGAAAAAATATAATTCATCTGCGGTATTCACAATATCATCACATAGCAATATGCCACAGTGTTCACAGTGTTATCACATAGCAATATGACAGTGTTCACAATATTATCACATAGCAATATGACAGTGTTCCCGGTGTTATCACATAGCAATATGACAGTGTTCACAGTGTTATCACATAGCAATATGACACAGTGTTCAGTGTTATCACATAGCAATATGCCACTGTGTTCACAGTGTTATCACATAGCAATATGACACAGTGTTCCCGGTGTTATCACATAGCAATATGACACAGTGTTCACAGTGTTATCACATAGCAATACGACACAGTGATCACAGTGTTATCCCATAGCAACGTGCCACAGTGTTCCCGGTGTTATCACATAGCAATATGACAGTGTTCACAGTGTTATCACATAGCAATATGACACAGTGTTCACAGTGTTATCACATAGCAATACGACACAGTGTTCAGTGTTATCACATACAAATTTCACAGTGTTCCCGGTGTTATCACATAGCAATATGACAGTGTTCACAGTGTTATCACATAGCGAATATGACACAGTGACAGTGTTATCACAATATGACGACAGTGTTATCACATAGCAATATAGTGTTCACAGTGTTATCACATAGCAATATGACACAGTGTTATTCACAGTGTTATCACAGTGTTCACAGTGTTATCACATAGCAATACGACACAGTGTTCAGTGTTATCACATAGCAATACAACAGTGTTCCCGGTGTTATCACATAGCAATATGACAGTGTTCACAGTGTTATCACATAGCAATATGACACAGTGTTCCCGGTGTTATCACATAGCAATACGACACAGTGTTCTCAGTGTTATCACATAGCAATACGACACAGTGTTCAGTGTTACCACATAGCAATATGACACAGTGTTCAGTGTTATCACATAGCGATATGACAGTGTTCACAGTGTTATCACATAGCAACATGCCACAGTGTTCCCGGTGTTATCACATAGCAATATGACACAGTGTTCACAGTGTTATCACATTGCAAAATGACAGTGTTCACAGTGTTATCACATAGCAATATGACAGTGTTCCCGGTGTTATCACATAGCAATATGACACAGTGTTCACAGTGTTATCACATAGCAATACGACACAGTGATCACAGTGTTATCACATAGCAATATGCCACTGTGTTCACAGTGTTATCACATAGCAATACGACACAGTGTTCAGTGTTACCACATAGCAATATGACACAGTGTTCAGTGTTATCACATAGCAATATGACACAGTGTTCACAGTGTTATCACATAGCAATACGACACAGTGATCACAGTGTTATCACATAGCAATATGCCACTGTGTTCACAGTGTTATCACATAGCAATACGACACAGTGTTCAGTGTTACCACATAGCAATATGACACAGTGTTCAGTGTTATCACATAGCAATATGACACAGTGTTCACAGTGTTATCCCATAGCAACGTGCCACAGTGTTCCCGGTGTTATCACATAGCAATATGAAAGTGTTCACAGTGTTATCACATAGCAATATGACACAGTGTCCCCAATAGTATCACAAAGCAATAGGACACAGTACCTGCACATAGTTGACAGGGAAGAAGCCATGTTGTCCATTCAGCTCTCCATGGAACCAGTTGTCATCTATCTGCTTCCGCAGTATCACTACATCGTTCTTCTTGAAGGACAGGTCCCTACATGGTGCATAGCAACATGAGGAGTATTATATACTGACATGATTAATAAGGATATGAGATACTAACATGATTAATATGGATATGTGCTATGAACATGATAAAAACTGATAATATCACTGGGCTCCAGATAATTTTTCAACATCAGGAGTACGTACTCCTTATTTTTTCAATATAAGAGTACTGGAAAACCTTAAGAGTACATTTAGAGTACTGAATGGAGATTAATGGAGTATCAGTAATCTTGTGTTTCGTTTCATGTATGCACCACAACATTGATTCTTGTGTCATGTATGCACCACAACTTTTTGATTCTTGTGTAAATGATTCTAAGGTCAATAAACAATCAAAAACAATATTTTTTCCGTACATAAATCGACTTATCTGGAACCCTGTGTAAATGATTCTGTCTTCTATCTTGGATGATATCTGGTAATTACATGGGACGATATTTGATACCTTTACGGATGCTATGTTTTCCATATATGGATGCTATCTTTTACATATATGGACAATATGAGGATATGATACCAATATGGATGACATGATACCAACATGGATGACATGAATACCTGAGTGGATAATATGTGAAACTAACATGGATGATATGGGATACTACATAATAATAATTGGCCGCTTACACAGCGCTGAACTCCACGCCACAAGGACATGCTCTAAGAGCATACAGCATGATGGACATTATTACTCCGGATAAGCTGTCCTAGAAAGCTGTCTGTGAGGCGCTAGAAGAGTAACAGTCATACATCTTATACCACCAGGTACCCATTTTCTACTGGGTGAACAGAAGCAATGGTGAACAAACTCACTTGCCTAAGGTGACAACATAGACAATACATGGCACCAACATGGATGATACGCGATACTAATTGAGAAGATATTCATGTGTCTAGTGACATATGATGCATGTGTTATCAAGTCACATGATAAATACAATATTTTTAACAGTGGTGTAGCAAAGGTTACAATTAATTTCATTCAGAAACATATAACAAAAACTTCTTTCTTCCTCATGCATGACAACCCTCCAGTAGTGGTCATAACTATAAGTCCCAGAGTAGTGAAATTCAAAATGGTCTAGCCAATTACATAAACAGAACATTTCAACCAAGATCTAACAAAAGATGTCTAAGCAGCTGACCTGCTTTGGCAATATCGAACATTTTCAAAGGTATGAATTTTAATTAGGTTAAAAGTCCAAGAATTCAAAATATAAATACCATGTAAATCAATGCGCATCCTAGTTTAACAGTAGACACATTTACCACAATTTATTTAAAATTATAGACATGATGACATATCGTGGAGATTGTTTCTAGACATCTGTTTGTACGCATAATTAAGAATCTATTTATGTTAATTTCTGCAGAGGGTAGCAAATTCATGGTGATGATGAAGGAATGTTTGTAGAAGTGATTATATTTCTGGCCATATGTTATACAGGATATTACATAGTGTTGCTCATCTTCTAAGGCGGTACATGTTTCACAGAGACATTCCAGCAGGATTGCAGGTTATGTGTACCTACTAGTGGTGGTCCGATTAAATGAAATAATCGAAGATTGGTTGTAGTGACTAAACGACCAAGCAATCGATCATAATTTCTCATAATCGAACACAAACAATTCTGGAACACTTGTTTTCATTAACAATATTTTTCACATGGTTGGTTTTGTCTGTTACATTTCGTAATCGCTACAAGCTCGTTTCAAGTCACGACTGAATTTATCTTAAAGATTCCAGGAAATTTATGTTCCTAACATACTAGTCATCCTTTAAAGATATGAAATTTTGCCAAAACACCCCAAAAGAACTACATGGTTTTATTCCTTATTTTTAAGAGCATTAACAAATTTCATAAATGACGCTAACCAATTATTTGCGATAATTGATCAGTAGTAATGAACCAATTATCAATTATGAGATTTTAACCAATTCCCAACAATAGTACCTACCATGTTGATTTTGAGTGATTAATCACTTAATTATAGTTTCGAGAAATGTGATCTATGAACTTTGTTTTTACAATAAAATATATAATCTTGAGTTTTACTTATGACCTGACTGATCTGTTTGTTCTGTTGTTTGATGTAAGACATCACTAAAAGAATGTTGGAACATGTGTTCACATTTGGACTAGAGTTTATTCATGGAGGATGAATAACACTTATTTGTGTTTACTATTTCAAAAGTTTGTTTTATTTGGTAAAATTTATTAATCCAGTCGAGATATTTTTATCAGAAACGCTGTTTTTTGCCTCCAAGACATATCTAAGGATGACATTTGTTCATTTGTTGAGTTATCAATATGGAACTTTTTATCAATTATCTTTTTGATTATTGGTACAAGTAATGGATATATACCAAGTTCCGATCCAGTTATGAGTTTTCTTGCCTACTCCGAGTAATGATTTACAAAATAGTTATATTTTTTATTTTTAGAGCAGTGTTCAAGCTTTGGCTTCATCGCACAAGCATTAACATACGTAGTTAGATTGTACAGATAAAGTACAGTTCAAGTTGCCCACAAAAACAAGCCAGCCGACTTCCTACAGCAGGATATGAGAAAGACATGGTGCTGTGGACAGGTATAGATGTGCAGACAAGAAACAGGATACCCACCCACTCTCCTTCGCTTCATAATTGTACAGTGCTTTCGCACACGGGGCATTCTGGAAAAAGAGGAAGAATTTCTGTTATCTATCAACCATTGCAGGGATGCCAGCCCAGGTCAATGATAGAAGGCACAGCATGACACATTGACAGCAGACGAGGAATATTGGCATTTTAAAAATAAGTCAGGATCTGGAATCATAGGAATACTCAAACATTGTCAAAAGATGAAACTGTATCATAACATGTGAAACTTGCCAGTCACAATCTGAAACAACACTGGAAAATGCCAACGTCATCTCAAGTGCAGACTAAGGAAACAGCTGTTACAAATTGATAGTATCAGTGAATGGCACAGATATTATCAGGAAAGCTTTGAATTACTGTAGATGTATTTGGTGAATTTAAAAAAATTCACTTAAATAGAATTTATTTCTTAAAATTGCAAAATCAGACAGGCTGCTGTTTCAGCATTTATATTTTTGCTTGTAATTTTTATGATGACACATCTAGTGGGAACATACAAGACGGATATGAAAGCCATCAACAAATACGTGAGTGCAGTGTATCAGCTTTCAAGGAAAGGCACCATGTGACATGTGATACTCATGAGCCATGTGTACACCACCAGCATACTCCAGCCAGCCTAATTACACTGATGGAACCATCATGTCCATGACAAACAAAAAATAGTCCACTGCTCTATCATTATCTAACCCGATAAGGAAGGAAAAAACACAGCTCAGATAATTAAAGTACACAAGCATGATCAGCCTGTCAAAATAATGTGAGAATGTATGTGTGCTCTGAGGGCATCATTAAAACACTTCCTGTGTTGTACACCATTGCCCAACACAAACCTCCACACAACATGCTGCAGGGGACTCACTCGATTTCCCTCCTCAACAAATTTGTAAAGACTTTGACTAATCAAGAAAATTGGAGCCTTGGGCAGTGAGTGAGTGAGTGAGATTAGTTTTAAGCTACACTCAGCAATATTCCAGCTATATGACGGCGGTCTATAAATAATGGAGTCTGGAGCAGACAATTCAGTGACCAACAGCATGATCTACGTAATTGGGAAGCCATGACATGTGTCAACCAAGTCAGCAAGCCTGACCACCCGATCCCGTTAGTCGCCTCTTACGACAAGTACAGTCGCCTTTGTGGCAAGCATGGGTTGCTGAAGACCTATCGTACCCCGGATCTTCACAGGTCTTGGGCAGTGAGACACAACAGTAGTCAAAAAGGGTGGAGGATCTAAACCTGCATTAGTCGGCAAAAATGGGAACTAAATGATTAAAATGATCTAGAACTTCTGTGAGGACAAATAATCTACCACTGTGACAAGGTAGTTGTTACTGGAGTAATACTAATTATCCTATTATCACATTCATTCAGTGATCAGTCATCCACTTTCAAGACAGGCAGTGAAGGAACCAAATGTCATTTTGGTCTTTATAATAACCATGGTAACATAAATAACAATACAGTAAACTACGATTATAACAGACGCAAAGGACAGATTGATGATTGATATGTGATCATTATGCAAAAGCGTTAAAAATGGCAAATTATTTTACATATATTTGTCTTCATATTGTTATTCTATTTAATCATGTTGACAAGCACCAACAAACTTAACTTATTTAAGATATTTTAACCTACTAAGGGACACCTCAAATGCGTATGTGAAAACCTTCTGTCAAGTATTCAGTCTTAATGAAAGGAGTAAAATGAAAATATTTCAAAGTAACACTGATAGTGACTATTAGTGAGTGAGTTTAACCATCTTTGAACACCATTCCAGTTAAATCACGGTGTGTCAGTGAGTGAGTGTGTCAGTGAGTTTAGTTTTACGCAACACTCAGCAATATTCCAGCTTTATGGCGGCGGTCTGTAAATAATCGAGTCTGGACCAGACAATCCAGTGACCAACAGCATGAGCATCGATCTACGTTATTGGGAATCGATGACATGTGTCAACCAAGCCAGCGAGCCTGACCACCCGATCCCGTTAGTCGCCTCTTACGACAAGTATAATCGCCTTTTGAGGCAAGCATGGGTTGCTGAAGACCTATTCTACCCCGGATCTTCACGGGTCTGGGGTGTCAGCTTGATGTAGGATGAAAGCCTGGATTGATGCCAGTCTCAGTGAGTGAGTGAAGTTTTATGCCGCTATTAGTATTAGCAATATTCCAGCAACATCACGGCGGGGGACACCAGAAATTGGCTTCACACACTGTACCCATGTAGGGAATCGAACCGGGTCTTCGGCGTGAGGAGCAAACGCTTTAACCACTAGACTACCCTACCACCCTGATGCCAGTCTTAGAAGCTTACCACTTTAAATTCAATGAAAGCCACAAGCAAGGTTTCGGTAATAAACTAAGTTCAAAATCACGGAGACTGGGATGCGACTCTGCAAATTGTGGCAAATTAGATGACTGGGGCACACATTACCTTAAAGTTACATAGTGAGTTTTGTCAATAGAGTATTTATCTGTTTATCAAATTCAATTACCTCCTTTTTCAAAATACTAAAACACCCTTTTATGTTTAGTTTCAGTTTTGGCTTCCACAGTACTATGGAAAGATTGGAATTCAAATAGTTTCAGATAGTTATACAGAAAGGGATAGTGACAACATTAAGTCAAACACTCCTTTCCTTACCACCCTTTCTGGTTAAAATAATCATGAAAATAAAATTGCAAGCTTTACTTTAAAGTCAGACTAGTGGTCTTTTAACTTAGAAAATTTATTTGTGAACATGTGTTGCTTGATGTTTCAACAGAAGTGAGCATTGTGCAACAAACTGTTTGCGCTCTTATTACTATTTATTATGTCTCAAGTAATGACGTATGGAGCTTTGTTGCAGTATCTGACATGGAAAACTTTGGAAATCTGATTGGCTCTTATCAGGTTAAACAATCTTCTGATTGGCTTCTTCCAAAATGAGCAACCCTTCAAATAGTATGTTGGAAAAAGAACCCATAGCAGCTGTGTGAAGCTTTTAACATTTTAAACGATGCATTTGAGTATTTAACTAACACAATACTGAAAAAGACAGTGAATCTGAAAATGGGAGAGAAGACTCTCCCATTTGTGAATTAAGAGAATTTCATCCCAAATGCAAGACAATGATAGCTCTGAATCTTTTGAATATGCTTTCAACACAAAAAATATCTTTCAGTCACAGGATAAGTTATACAAATCTATAAACAAGCATGCTGTCATGGCATGTCGAGACTAAGGATTGCCAAGTCTTACATTTGACTGCCATAACCTTTAACTGACTGACTTAGTTTTGTTTTACGCTGCTTTTAGCAATATTCCAGCAACATCACCAGAATGGGCTTCACACATTGCACCCATGTGGGGATTCGAACCCAGGTCTTCGGCGTGGCGAGCCAATGCTTCAACCACTAGACTACCCCACAGCCCCCCATAACCTTTGAAAGAAATCCACATTTTTAGCATTTGTGGACCTGAAGGGTCCCCACTTTCTAGCAACTGAAATGAACACTGAAATCAGTGACATCAGCATGATTCATCTGTTATTATTCATATGTGTTAGCAAACTCATCTGGAAGGAAAAGTAATGTTATCCCTCAAAATTTGTTAGAAATGTTTAAGGTGTTGGTAGTATTTTAATTTACAGATACATTAATTTGTATAATTCGTATCTTAGTTAATATTCTAATTTTACATAATTTTGAAATAGGTACTAAACCAAAAGATATTTCAGAAGAAAGCATCTTTTGCAAAAAGTACAAAGGCTGGACAGGAAGAGTTTTTTGGTTGCCTTTTTGTTGTTTTACACAATTTATGATAATCTAGCAATAACATAGCAGCCTGTCATCAATTAAGTATGAATGATGTATTATGCCATTGACCAATTAATGGTACTATATAAAAGTAGCTTCTTAAATAATTTTGGACACTTATTCTAAAATCAATGGACGCTAGTAGAAGAAAACAATGTCATGACATAGAAGCTTTTAGTGATCACAATGCATAGGCTGATAGAGATGATTGATGACAGGACTTAACTTCAAGTAAAATGATAGAGGTTACCTTTACACATGAATGCAGTATCATTGTCATTGACAGCAAGCAGAACAAGTAACTTGAACATCTCAATAACTTTGATATCATATCAAAATAATAGTGTCGTTACATCATCAGAATTCATGAAGTGTGGTTATCTCTAAAAATAAGAGAAACTGGATTCTAGCAAACTGGCAGTTAATAATAGAATCTTTGTTTTTTTCTTCACAATGATTGATTTTTTAAGAGAATGAACTTGAGTAAGCGTAGTGAGTACTGAAAAGAACTGACTGATTCATAGGGAGAAGGAACAGCTTGAATATTAGAATTTTTATGAACATGATCAATCTGTCAGTTAATGATTTTGTTCAGTAATAATCACAATAGTGTTTCACACAATGCATAAAATGCAATATCTCGATCGTGTATTGACATGGCAACACCACATGGAGCCTAGTTCAATTTTCAATTAAAACATCATACATGGCAAAATATATCATTGTACAACAACCAGACACTCTATTCAAACAATGTTACACTAAAGATACTTATGATAAAAAGGCACCTGTCTTTGTTGTCGTGGCTGTGAGATGGTGTTTGGGACACCTGGGCTGTCAGTCCTGCTTGAAGGAGTTTCAGTTGTTGTAGTTTGACCATGTAACTGTCCTTGTGTTTTTATACCCTCCAAAAGGCGAATTAACAAGATATTTGGCGGTAGATCTTCAACTTTGATTGTCACAATAGTCCTACACTCTGGACAGCGAAGTTCGTTTTTTGTACTCACTATCTCCTCAAGACACCTTCTACAAAAAGTGTGCTGACAGGGAAGAACTTTACTAGTGTGATCCAATCTCTCAAGGCAGACAGAACATTCTAACAGCTCATTTAGAGCCTGTTCATCCATTTTTAGGACTGACCAAGTTAATGTTAAGAGGAGGAAACGATAAAGTGTTCAGATCATGTCCAACTGATTGCCACCGCAATGTCAACACACAATAAGAACACAAACAACTGACGCAAACCGAGTTTTCAGTGGCATGCATGCTCATCGTTGGGTTCCCACCAGACGGAAATAAAGTGTTTTCTGGATATCCTTCATCCCTGTTGAACCTCCGATGTATTGACGAGCGTCTTTGATCATCACAAATGCACATAAGCATATCACTTAAAATGAATAACTTGGTGTTACAACTTATCTTCAAAGATTATGGTTGAGTCACCACTAGAAAATACACTCGTCGCCATATTGAACCGGAAGCTGTTGCGTAGGAATACATACAAGAGGGCGGGACTCGCCTTGACTCTTTGCAGGGCCGTGAAATCAATGATGGGAATGTGCTACTGTCTTAAGATGTAGCGACTCTCAAAATCGCTGTAAAGAGTCTCCTCAAATGTTTGTCTTTTGACATGATATTTGTCACGGACGCGATACAATCAAATTATACATGTCTAAGTGACAGTCATAAGTTACTATTCACAGTCATGTATTCCTATCATACAAAACTTTTACGCAAATATGTTTGCGTTTTCTCTATTTTAATTCGTGTTTGGAGGAACGTGTGGTGTGCAATGTTCATACATGCATGGTTCTGTACTATCAAATATTTTATAAAATTTTGTTATTGAAACAAATCATAAGTAAATAATATAAAGATTCCTCATGTTTCAAACAACATTATATACTGGTGTGTTTCTAATCAACATGATGGACAGATGCACGTAAAAAGTTATTTCGGTGACTAATGGCTATTTTTAACTTCTCCACATTATGTTAATAGCTCGCATGGTCTTAAAATTGCTTCTATCAAAAGTACTATTCTGTCACGTGCTCAAAGATTTTCCCCGTAGTCGAGATTTCATACAGTGCCACTAGAGTACTAGAGTATAAAGAAACCTGGAAACGAAAACAGGTTTATGCGCAACACACCATCAAAGGACAAATAGGAATTAACGGCGTTAAAAGCCAAGATAAATTGTTCTATTGAAATGCAATATGCTTCTGAAGTATTTGTATAAAAAAGAAGATTCGCGTATTGTTAACGTTGGTGCTAAAGAGCTTGCAGAGGAAAAAATCAACTTTCATTCAAAACAAAGGCTGTTTTGCAATTTATTGAGAAAATCTGCGAGGTCTCCTTATAACACTTAGTGTCTGTATCGCAAATAATATGAAACAGTATCAGCATATCTGCATTCGAGTCATTTGAGAACCAGATTTTATAGTTGACTGTGCAAGGGTAAGCAAACAACCGGGCAGGGATATCGGTCCGTCTTTTAATTATATATAGTTCCTGCTATGGTAAATTAATCCTTAAGGAATTAATCTATTGGGACACAGTGTATATTTGGTTAACACAGCGTGTTTTCATGTATTGATATTGACTGAAATAATGCACATGTCTAAGTAACCATTATTACGGGGAGGCAGACTTGCAGATTCCATACTGAAATCTGATAATACATATTTTGAATCGTGAGATAGATGAACCCATTCTTATAGATCGGGCGTTGTTCAACTCGGTTCTTGCACATGGTACCCCCTCCTGTGGCCTCATCATTGGCATCTGTCAAAAACAGATCTGTAGGAATAGATCGAATCCGCGTGTGTATGTCTGTCAGTGCAAATGTGGGAATGGCACCAGGAAGCGGTTGGCCAACACTGACCATTAAGTGACCGTATGTGTAGCTTTATACAACCTAAATTTACTTTTGATTGAAAAGAAATTTAAGAACGTTAGCCATCGGCTGAAAAATACTTCCCAGTGCTCCACTGTGCTTGCAAGAGGATATATTTGCCAATCGTGGTTGTATACATTGCACTAAAATGTACTAACGATATAACACACTGGATGGCCTATGATGAACTCTGAACTGCATATTGTGTGTTGTATATTCTGAAGGCATTTTTACAGCTGCAGTCGGTTGATAGTGGGCAGGGTATGGGAGGCGTTCTTCACAGAACCAAAGCATCTCATTTGTGATAATGACGTTCACCATACCTACTTACTCCATAAACATGTGCATACTTTTGTTTGCATGCCCAAGACCCAGTAAACATATCACCGTTTTCTTCTCGGCGGAGGGTTAGTGTTTTAGATGGTACGTGACTCGGTTGCACGTGCAGTTACTATTTCTTGCTCCGATGTTTGTGTGGTATGTAAATTAGTTCGGACGATAAGGTAACGAAACACATTGGAACAGTTACGGACCATGTCTCACGTGTACCATGAATCCAATTTCTCTTTCTTTGGTGAATGTATTTTTCTAATCTATACCGATAAATATCTTTAATAGAGTAACGGGGCGGTGGGGTAGCCTAGTGGTTAAGGTGTTCGCTCGTCGCGCCGAACACTCGGGTTCGATTCCCCACATGGGCACAATGTGTGCAGCCCATGCATTTCTGATGTCCCCGCCGTGATATTGCTGGAACATTGCTAAAAGTGACGTAAAACTTAACTCACTCACTCACTAATAGAGTAACGGAAGGAGGGACTTTTTTTCTGCCGCTCATAGAAATATTCCACCATTATCACGCCTGAAAAAGAGCTTCACGCATTTTACCTATATCAAGATCAAGTTTCGAACCTGGGTGTTTGGCTTGAGGAGCAAATGGTATATATATATACTAGGCTATTCCTCCAATCCTAACATAATAAACTGGATGTCCACTGATGAATCGATGATTAATTAGTGAAAAGGTGTTTTTCTTGAATGATATTAATGGAGAACTTGTAAATATGACAAAACACACAGCAGACAAAGCACCATCAAGCAGCGTCTCTCCTTTCCAAAGATGTGTAGTGGTTTATCCATTGTGACGCAGTTATGTTTCATGTTTAACGCTGCACTCAACAATATTCCAGCTATATGGCGGCGGTCTGTGAGTAATCGAGCCTGGACCAGGCAGTCCAGTGACCAACTTCATGAGCATCGATCTACGCAATTGAGATACGATGACATATGTGAACCACGTCAGCAAGCCTGATCCAGTTAGTCGCCTCTTGCTAGACCAATTCTAACCCGGATCTTCACGTGTACGTAGCAAGACTGTCACAAGGCTGCAAAACTTGAAGGACAAACAGTTTTGTATGGAACATCTCAAGGGATGAGACCGCCTCCGTGGTGTAATGGTTAGAGCGTCCGCCCGGAGAGCGGAAGGTCGCGGGTTCGACCCTCGGCCGCGTCATACCAAAAAACGTTAAAATATGGTACTTTGTTGGTCCCTGTCTGGTGCTCGGCATTAATAGGTACAACAAGGACTGGTCGGCTCGGAGTCAGTATAATGTGTCTGAGTGGGGCATTCATGCTTAATAGCGGCATGGTATCTCAGTGAGCTATATCACTAAAAAACCAGCTTCAACCTGGGCTAGTACAAGCAGCCACACATACGTCGTCATATATGAGCGAAATATTCTTAAGTACGACGTTAAACCACTCCTCACCTCACCTCACAAAGGATGAACGTCAATCGCTACTGAATATTTTAATGAAACCATTGCAACGACACAAAACCTTCTAAAACAGACGATCAAAACGGAGCATGTCATAATTTATTTATGCTACGTATCGTTAATGTAGAGATGACACAACTTTATGGATGATCAACTTCTTTATTTTAAGAATAGCGACGTTTTCGGTATAGGTTCTTAAACTGTTTTCAAGCATATGACTCGTGAATGTAGTAGCCTCGATCCTCCTCTTGACTTGAGTAATATAGAACTTACATTGCAATTAAATACTTATTAGAAATGATAAAAAAACAAAACAACAAACACAAAACACAGCTCTTAGACAAGAAACCGTTATACTGCTGGTCCACTATATGAAGTCAAATCTAAACCTGGCAGAGAAATATTTGTTATTGTATACTCATGCCAATAATGGTTGTCACCCCCCTCCCCACCCCAAACCCACACACACCTCACACCCCCTCTCCAATTAAAAAATTTGAAGGGGGTGAGAACCATTATTGGCATGAGTATATTTTGGGTCGCAGTCCTGACGGGCGAACGCTTTAAGCTCTATACTAACATGCTTCTGGTGAAATATAGACATCAAATGGTTATGCTGGACTGGATAAAACCTTACCAATCTGTCAAAAGCGGAACTGAAGAGAAGCCGGGAATGCAAGGTTTCTGTTTGGTATACAAAAATCAAAATAGTTCTACACAGAAATCAAAATCCATATCTAATGCAATACTGACATTCAATCCCAGCAAAATAAATTCTTATTTAAAACAATATATGTTAAAGGTGAAAATACAAAATACAATTGGAGCCTAAAACAAAGCTTAACCTAAATCTGGAGCTCGGGCTATCTAGACTTGCTAAATCATTCTTGACTTGACTTGGGCCTCCTTTTCATTGGAAGGTCATGGAGACTGACTTGTCTACCATGCATGAGAACTTCGGTTATATATATAGACTGGTGACAGACATATATTTCCCAGTCGCATACCTGCCATGTATTGTATAACGATGGTGGAGACATCCAGTTATCACTGAAAAAATAATTAGCACTACATAAATAACAGTAATATTACGATGGGCACAACCAAGAACATCGCGGCTCTACGGTTTTACCCATATTTAGAATCGAACCCGTGTCTGTAGGAACGCTTTTAAAATAACGCTCAGGCTCTAAAATTATATACTTTTGACAGAAACAATTAATCAACTACACATAAATTTGACAAAAAATAAAGAACCAGCAGCAGCAACAACAACACAACCCGCCCACAACAAAATTGGTGTGCTGCTGATTTCAAATCTGTCGGTATAGACATACTTGCTCTTATTCGCAACCTTTGCGCATTAACGGTTGCGTCTATACACGTCATTATGTCTGGGACAGCGGGAGTTTTGAATTACTCTTTTTTTTCATCATCTGTCTGTTAGATGTCTTACAAAACTGATTATATAAGAGCTTGAAATGCGCCGGAATCCCATTGTCGGACAGTGAAACCCCGTGGGTCCTCCAGGTTATAAAATAGCCCCCAGCAACCAATGCGGGCAAAGCAAACCAGTTGGCCTGGTGGTCAGCCAAGGTAACCTGGTTGACTGCGTGTCACCGTAACCCGACGGCGGAGATCGTTGTTCACATTATCAACCACTTGTTTGTATGATATCGCTGACTGCATCAGTGTACGTCAAAACCATACAGACAAAAAGACGCATTAATTAGAGTGAGTGAGTGAGTTTAGTTTTAGGCCTACGCTGCTTTTAGCATATTTCAGCAATGTCACGGCGGGGAACAACAGAAA